GAAATATAAAAAAAATAAAGTAATACATGTTTATAAAATTAAAATAATAACACTTTCATAAACATTAATAAAATAATGTTACAAAATATAATTATCATAATATATTTTGTTATTATTATTTATTATTATAAATATTATTGTTTTTATTTTTATTAATATTAATATTATTATTTATTATAATTAGTATCATTATTATTTATTATGATTCTTATTATTTTTCTAATATTTATTATTATTCTTATCATTATTTATTATTTTTTTAGTAAATAAACCCTATTAATATAATTTTATTGTAATTATTATTAATTACAATAAATAATATTATACTCATTTTTAATCCAAGGGTAAAAGTGTAAATTATATATTCATCTCTTAAATTTTTATTTTTTATCTATCATTAAATTTAAAGCAAATATTTAAATTAATTTATTTTTAAATTAATTTTTTATAATTTTTTTAGTTAAAATTTATATATTTATCTTTTAATTATAATAATTATAAAAAAAAATTTAACCTAAGGGCAAAATAGTAATCTTTCACAACTATTAATTAAAAAATCTATTTTTATCTATCACATCAATCAATTCATTCACAAACTTTCTCTACACTTTTCACTCACTTTCCCTTAATCCAATCAACCTCACTTTCCACTCACTTTCTCTTCAAATTCCTCCTTTTCCACTCTCCCTTTTCCATCCTCAAATCCAATCAAAGCCTTAGTCAAAAGTTTGTTACCTCTACTCTTATACTATACTTAATTAAGTTAAAATTAAAATTTATGAATTTCAGAACATAATTGTTAATAAGAATTTGCTAATAGAATTTCTTCATATTTATTAACAAAAATGAAATTTAAAAATAATCATAGTTTATTTAAAATCTATTATTTTGTACATAAAAATTTACATGAGTAAATATTTATTTTATATAAATCATAATATAAAATAATTAAATAAAATTAATGTAAACAAAATTATTGGACTTAATCAAGAAGTTGTAATAAATACGTGAGAGTTTAAGTTGGATTCTAATCACCATTATTTTACACTAAATAAAAATGATGTAAACGATAAATATTTACTCATTTATCCTTAGAAAAGATAAGTAGGATTTGTTTATTCTCTTAAATATTTGTAATAATAAATCACTTAAATGCTTAAAAAATAAAATAATTCACAATTTTTATAATATTTAATAATGATTATTTTAATATCATTTAAGGAATTTATTAGATATTCTATTTTTTAAATAAGAAAGTTGCTATTGAGAAATTCTTTTAGGTACTATATCAATAATTTAATTTTTTTTATTAGTTACAATAAGTTTTTTGACAGTGCAATGACTTATTTATTAAAACATACATTGATGAAAATAAAAATGAGTTTAATTTATATATATGTATCATTTGTGTAAAAGATTTGCATTATTAATCAATCAATAATAAGTATGACATTGAAGATAAATTTTATAAAAATAAACAAACTTATAACACGTAATAATTTCTAATTAGATAGTTATGTAAAAGTTACATTGCAAATACATACATTATTTGCTCTAAAATTACTTGTTATGAATGATTAATAATATTAAAATATTTTCTCCCATCTTTTTTATAAGAACTAAATTATAAACTTTGCTTAATTGTTTCTATAAAAATCAATCTAGAACGCCTTTCACAAAAAAAAAAAATATTTTTAATTACGAGTCATTTTTTAAGCCGAATAAATAATAAGCGAAATGCATTAATGCTTTATGTTTTTAAGAGTCTTACTTTGTCTTGCGTGAAAAATATTTTAAAAACCTTATTTCCTCACGTGCACAATGGAAATTAAGTAATAAAAATGTTAATGACAAAAAAATTACAAAATAAAAAATCACTAAAAAAGAAAAGTAGGAGTCATGAATAATTTAAAATATGTTTAAATTAGAAGGAATTTATTATGATAAACTAAAATAATTAATTTGTTGGATGATAGTAATTTAGTTAACGAGTGTTATAAAAAAGATTTGCACATTTGATTTAGGAGAGAAAAGTAAAGTGTGGTAAGTGGTGAGTGAACTAACCTTGTGTGGTGACCAAGCACGTGGGAGAGATATGGCTCCTCCTTCCGATGCCTTAACCACCACCCTCGTCTTTCTGTCTCCGCCCATCCTACAGCACCCAACCACCGATGCCAAACCCACTTTCTTTCTTCTGTATGAAACTAATTGTTTCCCCCTTCCTGAAATCAAATTACACTTTCAAATGAAAACACAGGAAAAGGAGTGGTGCTTGGTGAATTTGGTGAAGTAGAAAGTACATGCCAGCAATAGCTATAACGCTGGCTGGAGCAATTAGCGCAATTTGAGCCATTGAAGAAGGAATTTCCAAGTCCACGAATCTAGCAAGCTGGTAAAGAGGGAGAGAACATGGACAGGGTAATTAAGTTGGAGTTGGAACATAGATAGAAAAATGAATCCGAGCTCTTATTGGCTACCCATTCGTCTCTGACAACGATGTTTTCCTCGCTCAAAAAACATATGGATCAATTACAACTGAAAAGTATTTTATTTTCTACCATACTTGCCAAAAAGGCTTTATAGAAGAAAAATAATTACTTTAATAATCTTAAATCTAAAAAATATGTATTCTTCTTCCGCTATTAGACATAGTGAATAACTACATTACATTGTTAATTTCACATTAATTATTAAAAAAACAAATATAAAATTAGGTAATAGATGTATTCGAGTGTGTGGGGTCAATTGGTTATGTGTACAATTTTGAGGATATTTTTTCTCCCCGGAGTCCACGTGGCAGGAGAGTAGTGGTGAATGAAGATTGAAGTGTGAAATTATTGGAAAGAAAAAAGAGTATAGGTGACATTATTTACGTCCCTCAAGTCAAGTCAAGTGGGCCATATTCGCAAATGGATATTCGAATCTAGTAAAGCATTAGTATTTTATTTAGTACCACTGCTCTTTTGTGTCTATGTTCATTTACCGTTTACCCCTTTCGTCACTTTTTTTTTCTTTTTTTTTTTCTAAAAGTTAATGATATGTTAAAAATTTGAGCTTTAAAAACAAAAGGACAGAATACGCTGGAGCTTGGAGGAGCAGTTGAACAGTGTAAGTAAGTTATCATCAGATTACATAATATCCGATTCAATCCTTATAAATAAAAAAAAGGACAAATTATGTGTTGTTTTTTTAATCAAAATTTAAAATTTATCTCAATAATTTTCATATTCCTTTAATGCAAACTTTTATTTTGCGGATTATGTTGGGAAGGGGCTTGTCATTGTGGATGTAAGCGTCGTTGATTATGGTTTCTATAAACAATGAGAAAAGAAAATTCCCAAATCAAGAACGTTTGATTCATAACTTTCTTATATATTTTAATTAAATTAAAACAATTAAATATCATATGTACAATTTCTACTCCAAAACCAAAACACAAAAAATGGAAAAGAAAGAAAAAAAATCAGTTGGATGAAAAACCGAAATCCCAACACGGTCTCCTTGTTTTGGGTTTTGTTTCTTCATTATTGGGCTTAGGGATCCAACAAAAATATACAATCCTTATACTCCTAGGCCCATGTGACTAAGGTTCCTTGAAGAAACAGAAAAACGGTGCGTTTCAATAGGTTGGGTTCTCCTTCGTCACACATTGTTCAGAGATTCAGCGTCAGCATGATCTGATTGAATTTCATCTCCACCGTTCCGTTATCAGGTTTTCTCAATTCTTCTTTTCAAACCAACTGATTCGTATCTTAACTTTGTTCCCCTTTATTGAAAAAGGAAAAAAAAACATCAATTCTCTTTTCTCGTTATTTTCATTTAACTGGATTTTTTATTTTATTTTGTTATTTAGACGTGATTCAATTTTTTTGTTGTCCCGTCATGATTTGATGTGTTTTTGGATTAGCGTTAATAAAATTGATTTTTGAATGAAATTGATTCTATAAAATTATTTTGGTTAAAATTGATTTTGAAGTGAATTGATTTATGTTTGAATGTTTTTATTATAAAAGCAGCGTGTTAGTAGTAATAAAATTCAATACAAATGTTTTTATCTAAGGAAAAAGTTACCTAAATTGTTCCAACTTAGAATTAATTATTTACCTAAAATTACGTGAACTAACATTTAACTTGATTCTGGAAAATTCAATGTGAAATCAAACATGCACTTAAAATTTTTGCGCCTGTCTCTGTTAAATTGTTTCCCCAACGTGTGAAATTATTCGTAGATTCTATTAACTAAGATTTATTTTAATTTTAATTTGGTTTATGGATTTTTAGTAAATGCAACGCAATCATATTTCTTGAAGTTTAGTTGAAAACAGTAATTTAATTACGGTATATGAATTAATTTGAGGTGCTCCAAGCCTCCAACTGATTGTAAAATTGTCACTTGTGAGTGAGATTTTGTTTTCTACCACCAACTTCCAGTTCAGTGAAATGATGAACCCCTTTGGTAATAAGTCTCTTTTGAGCTCCCTGAAAATGGAAGCTTACTCTTCTTCCTAGTTACTGTCAATGTCTATGATGATAGTTTTCTACTGGATCAGTTATGTGGTGATAGTTTTCTTTGCAATGCAGGGAGATGGGTCTGTGGACTTTACTTGAGGGGTTTCTGCTGCTTGCAAATGCGCTTGCAATATTAAATGAGGACCGCTTTCTTGCACCTAGAGGATGGGGTTTCTCAGATTTCTCAGGTGGAAGGACTAAGTCATTCAAAGGCCAGCTTATAGGTCTCATTTATGCAACTCAGTACCTCAGAGTTCCTCTCATACTTCTCAATTCCATCTGCATTATTGTGAAGTTGGTGTCTGGATGATGCCTCACAAGGTTAGATGTCTATTTTAAGCATTTTATTTATTTTATAAGTGGTTTTTCATTACATCTTTTATTTTTTCAAAAAATAAATCAATCAAACATATGTTGTTATTGGAGAACCTTGAGCTCTTCGTATGTTTCAATAGGGAAGGAAAATACATGAAAATAGACTTCGCTGTTTTTTTTTTTTAAGATAAAATCTGCATTTACCTTGAGAGTGATGTCTTGGCCGTTTGGTGAAATTTATCTGGTATTGAACTGCACCATCACATGCTATTTAATGATTTTATACGAATTTGTACACGAGCTGAAGTTAGTTCATGATTTTAGTGATTGGCAGTTTAAAGCTCTCGTCCATTCTGATAGTTGTACAACAATATGAAATAAGAGCTGAATTTGGTTTGGTTTTGGATCATGATATCTAAAGTTCTGAATTTGTATCAGCCCGCCTTGATAATATGAAACTAAGGATGTAATTCATTGAATAGTCAGAAATCCTTAGCACTTACCTATTTCTCTTCTTTACGTTTCTCTTACGAAATTTGGACTTTGGGGAGCACGTAACTTATATGATTATTTAGGGAGAGGAATTGACAATAGCATGGCCATTTACATTACATTTGTTTCTTGAATTATATGTTTATTTATTATTTATTTATTTATTGATACAGATGTCTAGTTCTTAAAAATTGAACGTTCTCGAGTTTCTGTCAGATGATTTCACGAAGATCTTTTAGATAGCAGGTTTGCCAAATTCTATTGTAGAAATATCAATTGAAGTATTTCTCCTGTTTTTTGTGATATTTTTTATTACCACAAAATAGTGTTCTTTACAATAGTAACATACTTATACTGAAAGAAAGAACATTGTGGTTTTAAATTCAGTGCTGTATTCAATTTATTAAGTATTCATTATCATTTCTCTTTTTATTTTTAATTGATTCTAGCTTTCTTTGTTTGACCGAATTGACGCTGATAGTGTTACTCCCAACAGGGATATGATCAATTTCATAATAGTGCCAAATATGCATGTATACTAATGTGAGTCATCAATAATGTGCAAAGTACAAGGTCTTCCCAATAAAATATATTCGGAATCTTGTGCAAGGAAATCATAGCTAATTTTTTATTATAAAAATGATGGCATCTGAAACACTAAAATCTCTGGCACTACAATTGCTGAAAAAATACAACGAATTTTGTCATAAATCAGCAAAAAGATGGTATTCTTTGGAGTCCACTGCAATGAGTCGTATGGCTGAAATTGTTGCTGCAAGAGACAGAAGGGAAAAGAAACAAATGTTGAGCCAGTGCCAACACTTTTGTGAGCCTGATAGTTTCTCTTTCTTTGCCACAAGGTACATATGGTTTGCAAGAATAAATGTTAGGGGAAATGTGCTAATCGCTCCCGTGAGGCTCATGAAATCTCCAAGGAATGGCAGGAAAGCCGCCACAAATGTGTTGATGGTCAGGTAGCCACCTCTTAGCCCGATTCTAGATGACAAGTTTTTAACATTCAATGCGCTTCCTTTGACCCCAAATCTAGTATCCAAATACTCGTACATTGGACTTGCGAAAATCTAGTAGAATCAGAAAATGATTTATCAGTATTAAGCTAGGGAAACAAGTCAACTAATACATTCAAGAGTAGCAAGAATTCTAGTTTAAAAATTTGTACATGCAATGAAATGACCGATTGAAGAAAAGCTGAGATATTGGCCAAGGCCTTCACCCATACTGGACCATGCACACTATTCAACAAATACACTTCTGTGGAAGATCCATAAGCCCAGTATCCTGTAAAGGTAACAAGGTACATTGGTAGAACTCCAACAGTAAACTGAAAGTACAGGGCCTTCATCATGTTCTTCACAACTGGCTGCCTAATCGTTGCCTACAAGTTATACAACCAATTCAAACCAAAGAGAATCGAGCGTCAACCAAAAACATAATATGTGAAGATTTACAAGCTTCTGTCTTACCTGTATCTCAGGAAGCATGCCAGTATTATATGCAAACACGAGGTTCGCAGATGCCCCAATTGTTGTAAATACTTTGCCCATACCCTCTCCTGGAATGTTGTAATCTCGAGGTGGTAGTTGTAATCCTGATAACGTTCTCTTGGTTAGTTACACATAATTGAAAATTTCAATTTATAAGACAAAGTTAATAAAATCGGGTTATATTAATCGAGAGACTCGTGACTATGAACACGAAGTAATCCTAGACCATGTTATATTTTCTCCATAGGACGAGTTATTACCGTCTTTAACCGATAGTGCAAATGCAACAATAATATATACTAGGCTGAAGACTGTCGAAATTGCTAGCCAAATTCCAAGAGCTGAGAGATGAGGAATGGATATGGCAAAAATTGCACACATAATTCCAGCTATGATGATACAATATGGAAGTTTCAACATACCATCATCCCTAAATAGAACATACGCAGCCTGCATCACAATGAACAGAAAATTGGTTTAGAAAGAAAAAAGTTGAACAGACATTTATTTGAACAAGCCAATAAGGAGAAGAATCTAATGTTAATGGTAGAAAATATATATTTTTCCGCTAAATCTCTCTTACTTTCAAGGCTGAACCGGCCAAGATGATGAAGCCAGTATTTATCATGAAAAGATTGATATACTGCAGAGCCCATGTGAGAGAGTAGACTTTTTTCCCTGCAATAATGAGAATGAAATGAACACAAGGGAAATAACGTGGCAGAGAAAAGAGATGAATTTAGCCATTTGTTTTCCACTTTTCCGCTTACCGTATATAAATCCAGCAAGATCTCTATACCTAATATGCCTTTGCCCTCCATATTCATGGAGATAAGCAATTAGAGCATTTGCATAAAGTGATATCATGGTAGCAACCACTAGACCAACCACACCCCCAATCCAACCCAAGGGAACCATGACGGTCCCGGAATATCCAAGCACATAGGCACTGTTGATTCCGGTCGTGAGGACAAAAGCCACTTGCAACCATGAATCTGTACACACAAAAAAAACAAAAAATTAAAAAAATGATATTCTATTGCAAATCGTATGTTTCATAATACAACTGTGCTATTCAATAAAAAAAAAATATAACTGTGCTATTGTAGCATAAGCACAATTCTATCACATTCAAGAGAAAAACGAGAAAATAAGACAAACTGTATGTAGGTAGGTAAGAGGCGGTTGAGGAAAATCAAAATTCAGACGTAAATGTAACACACAAGTCGAAACGTTGACTCATGGGGAAAAATAAAAGGGTAGTTTGAAAATTCAACGATTTCCCCGTGCCCTGTTTTTGGTTAAAAAAAACATGTGTTAGTTTAATCTCTTTCCTCTTCCTCCTAGTCTATACCAAAAAAAATGATTGTGTTTGTCTAGTTGTAGCTAGATTGAGCTTCTGAACCTGGTTCCATAAACATAGGAATTTAGGAAAAATTAATGTATGAGAAAAGTGAAAAGCAATAAGATAACAAACCGCTGCTAATCTGATGAGCGGTATCTGGGGCGCCAACGTCGTCATGGTCCTTGTTTGATTCAAGTTCCATGTCTCCAATCCCCATTATCGGAAGCTTTTGTTTTTCTTGTTTTTATTTTCTTTGCTTTAGAGCAGCGTCAGGTTACGATGCTGCTCCTTCCAAACAAGCCTTAGCCGACGTGAACGTGATTGCAGAAATAAACACCACCACCCTCCTTTTATACATTAATAACTAACAAGAACCAGCCAATCACACATCCTTTTGTCCTTTTTTAGACCCAAAATGAGAAAGGGTAAATATTAAGAACCAATTTCTTATGTTTCCCCCACCAAGCTTATTCAAAATCATCACATCACACTCTGCCGTATAGTTTCGGTCTTATCTCAAAATAAAATAATTATTATATAATAAATACATTGCTGTTATTTTGACTTTGAGGTCAGAAGATCTAAAGCTGAAAAATTTTGTTCAACTCTGCATCATTTTTGTCTGTTTGATTCATAGTAACAGTTCTCGGAACCAATCCTAATAATTACAGTTTCACATTAATCGCCATTTTTTTTAAATCAATCCAACCCAAATACCTATTTTATCTAATTAAGAAAAATAGCCAATATATGTAAAAAAAATTTTAATAAAAGTTAATATAATTTCATAATAATAAATTTATCTTATTTTTATAATTTTTTAAATTATCTTTATATTTTTTTTCTTAATTAATATTCTTCTTTTTCTTAACTACATTTTTTAAATAATTTATAATTAATATATTCCACTAAATTAAAAGAATATATTTTAATTAAAAATAATTAATACATAAAATAGTATGGATTATATGTTACTACCAAAGAGTAAACAGTTATTGCAAATTGGATGTTATAAATGAGAAAGAAAATAGTACAAAACTAATAAGGAGTCAAATAATTCAAATACTAAATTGGGGATATATACTTAATAAATGTATCAATAATAATAAAATGAAGTTATTAATAATATTAAAATAAATTTAATATACAATCACAAGTAAAATAATCAATAACAATAAAACAAGTATATAATATAATCATAAATAACTCTTCATACAATTAATGGGTTATCATAAATAATTCTTAATACAATTAACGGGTTATGTTGATTAAATTATATGTGTTAGAGGGCAAGTGAATTTAATTTATTTAGGTGAATTATAAATAAGTCTTAATACAATTAACGGGTTATTATAAATAGCTCTTAATATAATTAACGGGTCATGTTGATTAAACATAACCCGTTAATATTAAATGGGTGAATTAGGCCCGTCAAAAACATATGAAGTTGAAAACATTTTGACAGCTTCGATCCAAACCTATAGGAAAGTAGTTGATCCATATATAATTTATATATCTTTGACTTGAGTGTTTTAACATTTTATTATAATAATATATAAAAAGATGATAAAAAGATATTTTTATTCGGTGCTGTGTCGACGTGCCGAGTTGACACAAATAGAACGCGTGAGTCGAGTTGGGTCCACAATTGTTTAGTGTGTCCGTGTCCAGTCTTGTGGGATCCACCACTTGACTCTACCGACCCTATGCTTTCGTCTGATCTTCGTGTTGGATCGTTTCACTCATTTATGGTCTTTACTTAAATTTCAATTTGTGTTTAAATTTCTAATTGTAAAAAAATAAATGCAAGAAACTTTATATTTTAGATTTTAATAAGTTAGGGTTGTGATTTGTGATGCATTAAAATTAAATGCAGAAATAAAATTATTTTATAGATTTTGACTCATTAATTTGATGAAAATTATAATTGTGTTATATATTCTTTTAATAATTTTTATTGTTGATTTTATGACACAGTAAGTCGTAAAATGTTGTAGTTGTTATATTTATTATGTATTGTATTGAGTTATTGTTGGGTATTGTTCCTATCGCAAGTTCGTTGTCATCGTTAGGGTCACTACATCCGAGATATTGTTCGCTTTGGCACTCGATGGGCCATCACAATTTTGTCCTTTAAAAGGCATCTCAGTAGGTTAAGGAGGGAGGATATTTATAAATTACCCTTAGCCTCGACTTCTAAGCGATGTGAGACTTTTAGGCATACCGAAACAGGTACTAAGGAACTCTAGAATTATGAGATTTTTTTATGAATTTTTTTGGTTGTTTAGGAGTATATCTGAGTAGAGGTCAACTTAAACATGTGGGAGAAAGACATTTAAGGTCTTTCTTCATAAATGAGTTTCATAAGTTTAAATTTTTAGAAACTTAGAGAGAGGAATTCTAGAGAGAAGGACTCTGGTTTGTAAGCTTATTTCCCTCAAAATTTTCTCCAATTCTTCCTTTTAGCTCATATGTGTTGTATTGGTGTTGATTCAAGTTGGAAAAGATGAAAATCAAGAGTGTAAGGGTGGTCCAAAAATCATTTCGTGGTTCATTCATAATTTCTCTTCTCTTTCTCGATTCTCTTTAGTTTCAAGGTAAGAAAAACTAAATTTTTTATTTCGACTAAGTAGTTGAGTTGTGTAGTGATGTATGAGTTATATGTTGTATGAATTCCTTGGAGATTCATGATTGTGTTGATCAGATCGGAGTGGATTACAAATGGGAGTTGGGGTTTTTGGTGTTCTTGATGAAAGATTAAGAATTTGACAATCTGTTGGTGTGTTGTTGTTGCATGTCTTTTTTTCTTCAATTTCTGAGTTCAATGTTATAATTGAAACATTATGAGGTTGCATGCATGTATTCTTGCATAAGTTGAGAGGATTTTGGAGAATGGGTGGTGTTCATAGATGTTGGTTTGTTCTTCAACTATGCAGGAGTTTTTGGGTTTGTGAGGCTAAGTATGAGTTTCACGCTTAGCATGAGAACTTGGGTGTGCCTCTAGAAGGCTAAGGCAAAGCCTGAGTTTCATGCTTAGCATGGGGACTTGGTTGTGCCTTTGGAAGGCTAAGGTTAAGCATGAGATTTCACGTTTAACATGGGAACTTAGTAAAATAGTTTTCTTTTCTAATTGAGTTGGTTGCTTACATGGTGAATGAGTTGTATGAAGAATACTGGTTGTTTGAGTTGTTTTACGACTAAGTGATGATGAATACGTTGTATGGATGATGTTGTATGATAATGAAATCTATATGTTGAAAGTTGATATGTTGTATGTTGATGATTATGTCATAAGTTGCTAGTTGAAAATTGAGTTGAGTTGCAGGTCGTGGGGTTGTGTAGTAGTGTTGAATATGTCATATGCAAGATGTTGTTGTGTTGTTGAGATGATGAATACTGAGAATGCTTTAAGCATTTAGGCATGTTGTTGTTGAGTTGTATTGATCAATCTAAAACTAAAGGAGAAATTATTTAAAAGTTATATATCTCATTGTGTGGATATTATGTTGTGGAGCTCCAAAGGTCCAATTTGTTGAAAAACTTCTTGAGAAGTTGACCTTGAAGAGGATAATTGAGTTTCCTCTAGGACCATAGTTGGTACTGTGCGTGAGTAAGGTTGAGGCATGTGTGTATAAAGTGATCAATTGAGTAAAGTACGAAGTTCAAAACTTAGTTCCTTATTGAATATCAAAAAGGTGTAGTATTTGAAGGGTAGTCGATAGGCTAATCCAATAGGAGGCTTGGTTAAGCTAGCTAATGTCATGATAGACTCATGCCTAGTTGTCCTATCCTGATAATGGTACTAGACTCCGACATTCGAGAAACCAAGTTGTTGTGTTGTGGATTGATATCCAATTTATTGTTAATCCAACAAGCCAAAAAGATCACCCTATGTTGTTGGTTCAATAGGGTCAAACCACTTAAATTGTTCACTCTGTATTATACGAGATATCCTAGTTAAAATGTGTGACGATGAATGTAATTATTATGTTGTATATATTGTGTTGTTGTGATGAATAATATGAGTTGTTGATGTAATGATGTTCAAGTTGATATTGTGTTGTAGTAGATTGAGTTGTTCATGCTGATATATGTTAGTTGTGTTGTAATGTTGTATGTTGATAGTGTTAAAGATGCAGGGAAGATGTGATGATATTTTAATGTTATGGATACTTTGTGTTGTATGTATATTGTCTCTTTAAACTTTAGCTTACCCTTGCATGTTTTCATGTTAATGAACTACGATTATCATACTTGGTATAAGAGTAAAGAGGGGTAAAACTTATGTGGGAGTTGCTTTGGAGGCCACATTGAGATTAGTAATGCTGATATTTTGAGCTACTTTGGAGTAGCTAATTGATAATATAAATTATTTGACTGACAACTTAAGTTATATATTTTACTTTTATTGAATTATTGTATTTATATCATTTATGGTTATACAATTGTTTTACTTTCATATGAATGATATATAGTATATATTCCGATACTCGTAGACATATAACTTTAAGTTATTAGTTATTTTTTATTACTAGTTGTAATTCATTAAGTGTAAGGATCATGACAGATTATTATAGATATAGTTCTTGAAAATTTTAAAATATTATTGTATTTCCTTTTAAAAAAAATCTATAATAGTTATAAAAAAAAACTAAAACATCTTCGCATTTAATTTTTATAGAAGAGCAAATTAATAATAAAAAAAAGTCATGATTAGTATCTATTTTATATACTTAAGAGGCAAATTTAATGACAAAGAAATATTTTAAAAGTTCAAATTAAAGGTTAATGTTCAAGCGGATGCAACTCAATTTTAATTGAGTAGTGTATATGAATTTTAATTGAATAGAATATGATTTGTTGTAAACTTTCTGATATCGAAGATACTGAGGATACTAAATTTGACTCTTATGAATTAAAAATAAAATAAAAATGATATTGAGAACATTAATTTAAAATTCCTTTTTTTTTTAATTTACAGATTAAGAAATTGGCTAATTTTAGAAGAAAAAAAAATATAAGTCATGGATATATGGAACGTCAGTATGTGAGTAAATTTAGTGTATATTTGTCCTTCTATGAAAACATTTTTTTAAGGAAAAAAAATCACGTGTTTTTAGGGGAGGATATCTTACCGATTAATATTGGATACCATCCCTTCAAAAAAAAAAAATATTGGATACCATCAGTTTTGTAAAAAAGCGTTAAAAATAAATAAAATATCTTCACATTTAAATTTTATGGAAAATTAAATTAATAACACACAAATTCATGCTTATTAATTGTTTTAAATATTTAAGAGACTAATTTAATTACAAAAAACTAATGCTTTCAAGATTTTACTTAAATTTAATTTTAAAATGGTTTAATTCAATTGCTTGAACTATATACATTAATTATTATAAATTATTTGGTACGATTAGATTATACTAAGTCTTCATTTTGTTGAGCTGTACATTCTTTTCTGTTTTTCTATAGCCTCTTATTTCTCATATCTATATATATGAGATGTATTCTAATTCATTGAAATATAACAAAGTATTATCTCTTCTCCTTTCATCAATTTTGCTTCTATATTGTTAATATGGTATCAGGAGAATAGGGCTTTTCCTTCCCCTTTTGCTTTCGCTTCCGACTACGATTCTTTTCATGTTCCTTTCCTCCTCCACTTCCATTCGTGATGGCTTCTACAAACAATTCTTCATCCCTACCTACTGATGATTATGCAAATCCTTACTTTCTTCATCCATCGGACAATCCAGGAGCTTTTATTGTTTCCCAACCCCTGAATGGCGACAACTATAATTCTTGGAGTAGAGCAATCTTGATGGCGCTTGGCGAAAAGAATAAAATTGGTTTCGTTGATGGCACAATCCCTAAACCGTTGCCGACAGACAAATCGTATCATTCTTGGCAAAGAAACAATAATATTGTTGCTTCTTGGCTGTTAAATTTCATCTCGAAAGATCTTCAGGCAAGTGTCATATATTCTTCTTCAGCCACTGCCATCTGGAACGATCTTCGAATTCGATTTCAGCAACACAATGGGCCTCGTGTGTTTCAATTACGAAGAGATTTGGTGACTCTAAAGCAAGGTTCGCTTAATATCACTCATTATTTTACCAAGATCAAAGCCTTATGGGAAGAATTGGCAGAATATCAACCTTCACACGCATGCACTTGTGGTGGCATCAAACCTTGGATTGATCATCATCAATCTGAGTATGCAATGCTGTTTTTGATGGGTTTAAATGAGGGATACTCTCATATTCGTGGACAAATTTTGCTGATGGATCCCATCCCACCAATAGAAAAGGGTTTTTCATTGGTTTTACAGGAAGAAAAGCAGCAAGAACTTGGAATTCCTACAAATTCCAATGACACACCAACTGCTTTTGCTTACAAATCTGGAAATGATGCAAAATCAAGAACTAATAATCCCACTAAAGAAAGACCGAAATGTGAGCACTGTGGGAAGCTTGGTCACATCAAGGACAAATGTTTCAAACTCCATGGCTATCCTACTCATTTGAAGCAAGGAAATTCAAATACTAATGTCAATCAGGTTTCAGACAAATCAGCTAAGGCATTCCAGTTTACTACTGATCAATATCACCAAATTCTCTCTTTATTACAGAACCAGCCTTCAAGCAATTGTATTGAATCCAATCCAATTGTCAATGGTTTGCTCCTTTCAATTAGACCTTCTTTTAATTCAATTCCTAGTACTAAATGGATTTTGGACTCAGGAGCTTCTACTCATGTAGCTTGCTCTTTATCTCTTTTTAAAACTTATAAAATTATCAAAAATCGCCATGTGACTTTGCCTAATCAAAGTCATATACCTGTTTGTGGCATTGGCACTGTATATCTTGATCAAGACATTGTTCTCAAAGATGTTATTTATGTGCCACAATTTCAGTATAATCTGCTTTCCATCAATTGTCTTCTTAAACACAATTCCCTCTCATTGTTATTTATCTCTAACAAGTTTATTTTGCAGGACATTCTCCACAACAAGATGATTGGCACGGGTGAAGCTGTTCAAGGCGTATATCTCTTGAACCAGCTTGTCAATCCAGCATCTCTTGCTAGTGTCAATAATAATAGTGTTTGTTTTTCTGATAATAGTCTAAATGTCAATAGTAATTCTGCATCTGTGAATTCTACATGTACTAAAGATGCTGCCATATGGCATAGTAGGTTTGGACATGTAAATGATACTGTATTAAAGATTCTTAGTAATAAAATTCCTTTTTCCATGCCGACATCTTATTCTTCATCTTCTTGTCATATTTGTCCTATTTCTAAATTTCGAAAACTACCTTTTGTCAGCCATAATAACTTTTGCAGTACCCCTTTTGACTTGGTTCATTGTGATGTTTGTTCAATCAATGATCCCAAAGAAGCTACCACAAACAACAATCTCAGTTTGCTTTGGTCGATACTGATGCCACGTTTGTAAAGATCCTTTTTTCTTTTACAATAATCTATATAACATTTTGAAATCATATATATTACTTTACTAGGTTGATAGTCAGCTTCATGGAACATGCATATTTCTGAAATAATATAAAAGATTAAACTATATTAAAATGTCATGTATTATTGTGTAAGAAAAAAACCTGGTTGACATTTGGCACCATTCCTCTGTGTATCTCAGTGTGTAATTTTCATTGACGTAGTAATTGATCAACTATTGAATGCTAGAGAAAGATGTAAGTATTCATTCAAACAAGTCATAGTAACACTTATAGAAAAATATAGGTAAACCTTAGCATAATCAGGGTTGTTAGATGTGGTTCTCAAATTTTTCTGGGAAGAGCAATTTTCCTTCTCCAATTTTCTATGGTTTCTCTAACATCTGCCATTTTCTTGAAATATGAATATATATTAGACATTTTTGTCATGTGATAAAATTTGGATAAGACTCCTTTAAAGGGAGTTTGAGAAAAAATATGTGTATCATGTATAACATAACCCGCTAAAATTTAATGGTGCAGACATCCTCTTCCAATTTAGAGACAGACTCACTTGTATAATCTTTATTTTTGAAAAACAAAAAACAAACTTTTACACTAATGAAAAACAAAGGAATAACATAAGCAATTTTCATATTGAAAGGTCTGACAAGTTCAATTTTAAATAAATATATGGTAATGTGTGATTACTTAAAATAAGATTTTTTATGGCATGAACCTGACCTTTCACCAAGTAGAAGAAATTCATGGGTGTCAAGGAAGTCCTTAAGAGCAACCACACACATGGTTCTAGGACCCAAAATCCCTTGGCTACAACAACTTGATCTTTTCTTATTTTTCTGGGAAGAGCAATTTTCCTTCTCCAATTTTCTATGGTTTCTCTAACATCTGCCATTTTCTTGAAATATGAATATATATTAGACATTTTTGTCATGTGATAAAATTTGGATAAGACTCATTCCATCTCAGCTGCTTCTAGTGAATTAGTCTGGCTGCAAAGACTCTTACAACATTTTGAAATTCATATACCTACAGCCATGTTACTTTGTGCTAATAAATCTGATGTGGCTTTAGCTACTAATCTTGGTCTACATGACAGGTCTAAACACATTGATGTAGATCATCATTACATTAGGGAGTTAGTTGAAGATGGCCGCATCAAATTGATACATCTGAAAGCTGAAGACCAGTTAGCAGATTTATTTACCAAACCTCTTCCTTTACCTTTATTCAAAAAGTTCAACAACAAGTTGGCATCTATCAATATATATTTTCCAACTTGAGGGGGGTATTAGATTATACTAAGTCTTCATTTTGCTGAGCTGTACATTCTTTTCTGTTTTTCTATAGCCTCTTATTTCTCATATCTATATATATGAGATGCATTTTAATTCATTGAAATATAACAAAGTATTATCTCTTCTCCTTTCATCAATTTTGCTTCTATATTGTTAATAGGTACCAAGCTCTATTCCTATGGATTAATTTTATTTTTAAAAAAATATTTCTGAGAACATTAACTTAAGCTTTTTTTTTTCTTTTTAACATTTTCAACTAAAGAGTTTGGCTGATTTTGAAAGAAAAAGAATCTACATACATGGAATTTCACTAAATTTGGTGTATACTTGTCCCTTTGCAAAAACAATTTTTCTGAGGGAAAATATCATAGAACCATAGGTTGCCCTTGAGTTTTTTATACCGTGGGTGAAATAAAAAAATAATAATAATGGCTCATAATTATTTAAATATTATTTATAATCTTAATTTTTAAATTAAAAAGTGTTAAAGGTGTAAACGCATAAACAAATAAACATGTAATTATTAAAAATAATATTAAACATGCATTCATACGAGACTATCAATTATTCTTAGATATCACTATATAATGGAAAAAATAAATCAATAGTAATGACACATCATAAAGGTCAGAAGTAGAGATTCATAATTTGATCTTGAGATGTCAATAGAGTAAGATAAGTTACGATTTAAAAAAATAGAAAGAAAATTAAAGAAATTAGAAATAAAGAAAAATGAGAAGGTTAAACCCTTATTTATTATTTTACATTAATACTTATAAAAGTTTACCCACAAACTCTAAGAGGAAAAAAAAGGAAATAAATTAATAATATATTATATTTTTCTCTTTATATTTAATATTATTGGTTTATCTTCTTAAGATTATGGGATAGATTTTTGTTGACTAGTGAAAAAAATCAATTATTGATTAATTGTTCATACTTAATTTATTTTCAATATAATTTAATTAAGTATATATATATATATATATATAATAAACTAAATAAATTTTTTTATTTTATTTTAGTGCTCCTTCAACAATGAGATCTTAGGGATTAATCATCTCACCAACCCATGCTAAGATAGGCACCGAAAAAACCATATCTACTTTAAGTGTTTCAAGAGATGGAGATCTGACCATTAACTATTTTACTATTAGATACCATCAATTTTGCAAAATAAAAGAAATTATAATAAGGAAGTAGCTCTCTCGCTAGACGATGTTGGGAGCTATTATTGTGACATTAAGTATGAGTTAAGCAAAGACTCTCTACTTGAATGAGGTCGATAAGGGTTTAGCCAAGCTAGGTATGATTAACACAGTGGCTCTACCTCATTCACATTAGGCATGGGTGGATTAGCGTTGGATGTGGACAGCAAGAGACTCTCTACCTCAATGATGTCAGGTGTTGGAAGAATGACATCAGGTGTGAGTTACTAAATGAAAAATGGTTGATTATTTATTTGGCCAAGTGTCAAACAAGTAAATGGTAGGTAGAGTTACTCACATGTTGTACGTTGTTGTATGATTCTAGTTCATTAAATATTGATCTAGGATGATGTATTTTAACAATTAAGTTTCTTAAAATTGTAGGTTGTTGAGAATTGAATTGTAATGGAGTTGCATGTTTGATAATGTTAATTTTTACTTACATTCTAGTACCAAATTTGTTAACACATTCAACTCTTTTCTAACTTTTGACTTATGTAATCCTCAATTTAACTTCTCTTTTGTAAGTAAAGACACTTTGGTTACACATACAGGGTTATACATATTTAATCCTCATTTTTTGTGATTTTTTGGATAGGTAATCATGTGGGAAGAAGTCATGTCAAAGAGAAGAAGCTCGATTGAACTCCAGTGAAGCTAGCTGGCATTTTCAGTAGACCCGCGCTGAGTCCATATCTCAGCTCGCTCAGCGCAACGGATCAGGCTAAGTTGATGGAGATTTGGCATCGCGCTGGACGTGTTCAATCATGCGCTCGACGCGCCTTCCGTCATGCGCCAAGAGAGTATCGTATCGCGCTGAGCGCGTCACTTAAAGAGTTTCATAGATTGATATAATTTCTGGCTGAGCGTGAAGAGAGGAGTCTGGAAGCAGAACCAAGAGAGGAGCAGAGTGCAGGTCTAAAAGGGAGAAGCTAGGGCTCACCTCTTCACCATTGTTTCTCATTGGTTTTCTTCCATTCTTACTCATTTGATGTATCTTGCTAATCTCGTGGACATGGATTGCTAAAACCCCTTTGTTGGGGTTAGATGTAGCCAACTTGACTCTCATGTAACTTGTTTGAATATATATATGTATCTTCTTCATTCAAATGTTAGTATCATGTTCTTGTGCTTAATTCTTGTATAGACTGATCAACTATTACATGATTGGTGATTACTTTTGGTGTGGGAATATCATTGGTAATGTTGTTTGAGAATGTGGTACCTAGTAAACTTGTGTCTAGGAATGGAACATGAGTTACTTGTTGTTTCGAGCCCTTAAATTTAATGCAAGTGGATTTATTGAAGTATTCAAGGGATTGATATTTTGTAATGAAACTTCGGCTCTTTTAACCAAGGAATTGGAATTTGAGAAAATTAGTGGGCTAGCATTAATGTTTGAATGAGAATGAAGGTTTCTATGCATGAGATTAAAGTTGGCGAAGTCTAACCCTAACATTTCATTCATATAGTTAATTTCCAAAACCGCATTTCAAGTGTTTGATGAAAGTTCACTTTAGTTCATTTTTCTCTTTTTAGCTTAAAAATTACAATCCACCAAATATGAAATCATTCTTTAGTCTGTATTAGCTTAAATTCCACATATTGCCATTGTATTACTCAAGTCCTTTGGGAAGAACGACTATTACTTCTACTTACTACTTGTGCGATTGATTCGCTTGCCATATTGGAAGAAATCATTTAACAATGTTGTGTAGTGTGATAATAACTATGTTGATAACGCTTAAGGCATGAAATTGAGTTGTATTGCTTAACTTAGGACTAGAGAAAAAATGTTTTAAAAATTTGAATATCTCATTGTGAGGATGTGGTATAGTGGTGTTCTGCGAGCTCAATTGTTAAAAATTCTTCTTGAGAAGTTAACTCTTGAAGCGAAGTGTTGAATCTCCTCTAGGATCTTAGTTGATACAGTATGGGAGTTAAGTCAAATCATATTGGTTATAAAGCGACCAAATGTAGATCTTCATGGGGGAAAAGTCGAACCATAAGTGTATAAAGTGACGAATCTAAGTAAAGTATAAGGTCAGAGGCAAAAATCCTTAAGTATTGGAAGGGGACGCAATATTTGGAGGATAGTTAGCGAGCTAATTTCATTATAGACTTAATTATGCATGCTAAGGTCATGGTAGGTTTACATCCAAGTTGTTTTAACCTTGATAGAATTTGAATTTGCATTAACAAGTGGTCTCGACACAATATCTTACATATAGTTGTGAATCAATATACTTCATTCGAAAGCTTTAGAAAA